GCTTAGAGAGGGGGAGGGAGGGAAGGGTGGACATGGGAGGTTCGCCAGGCACCAAAGCAGCTAGGAGCTCCTGGAGAGGAGACACATGGCATGTGAGGGCAGATTAACAAGCTGAGCCGATCAGAGCCTGCTCAGCTCTGTACACATGTGCCTAGGGCTGGATGCCGGCACCTCTGAAATCATTTTTGCCTGGCCAGCGGCTGAAGGAAGGTGCTGTTCAATGGGGGCAAAGTCGTGATCATCTGAATTTTTCTTCCCACCAGCCAAGCCTTGGTTGCAGACTCTCCTGGCTGTGACCAAGACTTGGGTGCCAGAGCTCTCAAAGCATTCAGCAGCCCAGCCTGACTGCCTTCAGAGTCCTTCCCACTAGCTGAATGGCAGCATAGCACTGAAAACTGTGGCTTAGGTGACTTGAAACTAAATGCTGAACTGGTTGGGCCCCAAAATTTGTCTCCAGAGCTGAACCTGAGATCTGCCATAGTCTGGGGAGGTCTAACATGTCTGGCTTTTGAGTGTAGACCAAACAGGACCTGAGTACTTTGGTGTCCAGGTGTGCTTGAACTGGACGTGTTGCTTTAAGTCCATTTACGTGGTGTTTTGCTAGGGCTACCCAAACATTGATTAAAGAAGGTGCCTCCAGGCCTGTTTATAACAGAAAAGCTAAGCGCGTGACACTGTTGTCCCACAGGCACTACAGGAGCTACGGACAGCGGGGAGGACCACATCCTGATTCCCCATCTGCCTCCTCCCACTCCACCATGCAACACAAGGGAGCTGCAGCTCTGTGCCTGCAACCATGTGCTTGACATGGCTGTCCTCAAGTGCAAACTCCTCTGGGCTCAAGGAGACAAATCCCTCTTCTTCAGCCCCTCCACCCCAGCCATGTGTAGGGGAGAGCTTGTCTTCGTTGCAGTGCATGATGCTGCAGTGATGTTGGGGGCTGCTGCTGGTCCCAGGCTGAACTTGCACTTGGCCCTCTGGGCTGGATCCTGTGCTGCAGTAAACCCACCTGGCTCCAGCAAAGCAGCTGCACATTGATTTGATGCAAATCTGCTTGTGCCTGCATGAGACCCTGGCACTACAAAGCCGTGAGAGGAGTTCAGAAGAGGAAGTGCAAACCCTGGCAAAACCAAGGAATAATCCCAGGTAATTAAGACCTCTCGCTGAAGCCACCCGGATAAAATGCAAGGGCCTTCGCGTTTCTATTCTGTCCTGGTGCCGCCTTCGGGCTGTTCCCAGTCACTGCGTGTTTCCTAGGACTCTCTGGTGGGTCACCGAAACTTTTTCTGCTACTTCAGTAGGGCATTCTGCTTTGCAATCCCAAGAACACCATTGTCTGTAGTTACTACAGGTAGGCAGGAGAAGCTGTGTAAAGACTTGAGCCTGCAGGTAACTTTCAGAGCTACCCCAGGTGCACCTAAACCACTCAAACACAGCCAACAACCAGGACAAGCAATTGCATGGAAATGCATCTTGAATTCATGTCAATAGCTCCAAACCTAAAGTTGCCAGATGCTAATTAGAGAACCTTTGAGAGTTTGAGGATTAAAATTATCTTAATAGTTTAACTGTATAAACACACTGACTCATTATATTGAGGGTGTAATAACCACGTCCTGAACAGTGTGTTCATCTGTAAGCCAGAGGCTAGCTTCTTCTCCGCGTTTGCCTTGAGATGGGGAAATCTTCATGAGAAGGAAATGAGTGTTATGGCTCTGTGGTTTGATAGCACTTTGCTCTAGTGATATTTTTCTGGTAGGATTTGCAGAGCTATTTGCCCACCTGTCTGTACTCCTATACATATTTATTTATTTAATTTTTTGGTACTTATTTATTAATATATATTACAATATATATATTTATGTATAAATACTAAGTATTTATTTATAAGCCACTTTTTTCTTCCTCAACTCAGCATTGCTTGGCTCCATCTGGAGTCAGACCTGTTGCCCATGTGCTCTCATGCAAAGGCAGCACAGTGAAGGGCCTGATCGACTTCAAGTGAAATTCAATATACAGTGTTTGGGAGAGGAAAATTGTCCACTGTAGAAGACATGAGTGAGCGGCACGTCCCCAAAGAGACCAGAGAAAACCTCTGCCCCAGGCGCGGTAGCAGTCAGGGCAACAGGTGTCCTGTGTCAGGAAAGGGATGCTGCTGCTGCTGCTGTGTCTGGACAACTTTGGAGATCAAAGCCTGGAAGGGCCAAAGATGGTCACAGATGAAAGGAAGGAAACCCCAAAGCCAACCAAAACATGCTTGGCCTCTTCAGGGAGGAGAGGACAGAGGATGACAAAAACAGCGATTCCTTTCTGTTATCTCCTTGCAGTTCTGTGATGCTCTTTACCCGGAGAGCTTCTACCACCCAGGAGCCACCATGCTGTCCGCCTCCTGCAAGCACCCCTTCGTCGTCATCCACACCCACTGCTTTGCACCTTGGATAGTTGAATACTGGCCTCTCTGGACACCTCATCCCAAGTGGAATATCGCTACCAGCCTGCAGTGCATCGCAGCCTTCCTCCTCCAAGCTTCATCCTTCCTGCCTTCGCAGGACCAGGGACTCAGATCTGTGTTGCAACCCAAGACATTTTGTAGGGCAAGCAAACACAAAAGGAGCTGTGCAACGGTGGATATGACTGCAGGAGCACCCATTTCATCACCAGCACCTCCTCCTCCCTCCCTTTTTCTACTGGCCTCCTTTCACTTGCTTCCCACACGAACATAAGCCTTTGTGACCTAAATAACTTTTATTTTTTGGTCATACTCTACACAAAACCCATCTACGCATTTAACAGATTTCTCAGAAGGTGGGACCTTACATGCCTTGTGATGGGGGCAGGATTTTTAAGTAGTGCCACTAAGAAAAAATATAAAACAAAGGAAAACTGGAGTTCCAATTCACACCTGCCTGCAGGTGAGGCAGAGGATGGCTCTTATGTGAGGGAATTTGCCACTTTGAAAGCCTGAGAAATCTATCAGAAGACATGCTGGGAGTATAGGAAATGACAAATGGATGTCTCTTATCAGACCAGGACAGGGAGACAGGTGAAAGGAAATTTTAAGCTGTGAAAAATCTTTTTTTCTTTAATTTATTTTCCCCTTTGACATGCAATGAACATGCCCCAGGAATTCCCGAAGGCCAAAATACATCAAGACTCAGAAAAAGACTAAATTGATATGGACAGCAAGAATATCCAGATTCATTAGAATTAATGGCAGTAAAAATGTCAGCAGGTGTATTAAACTCCCCACTTCAGGGTGCAGAAAACACTTGAGTCGTTAGATCCAGCTCGAGTGGGGAGGAGGAAGGTGGGGAGGTAGCTCCAGCTCCAGCCCTTCTCCAGCCTCCATCAGAGGTTCCTGCTGCAGAAGGATGATGTGAGGTGGGCAGAGGGCTGATGTGCCTTGCTTTGGTGTTCCCTGTGTTTGGACACGGAGCCAGGGCAGAGCCCTGCAGCCGTGGTCACCTTGGCAGTGCTGCCAGGTGCTTGCCCTTCCAGTGCAGCAGCCACCCCCCCAGGTGCAGGGAGCAGCATCCTTCCCTGGAGAAAGATGTCTCTTCCCAAGCTGCACAAGAAGTTGCTTCTGCACGGAGGTCAGGGACGACACATCACCCTCGTGCGTGCAGTGTTGGGAGAGGTGTTCGTGTTCAATTTTGGGATGGCTGTACTGCCAATGAAAGCCTCTGGCTGGCGTCTCAGAGTAGTGATGGATGGTACTTTCCCATTAACAACTTGTCCTGGGCAAGCACAGTGGTGCTCACATCAAGACAGTTTCACTCCAATAGCCCCAGGGCCTCTGTTTTCATTCTTTCTGTAACAAACTTGGAAGTCCTAATAAGCCAAGCCTGGGACGCTACTAGGAAAAAAATGGTGACAGCTTTCTGAGGTGCCGGAGGGGATCTCAATACAAATTCAAGCTCCCAGCTACATTTCTCATTTGAGCTTAGACAAATCAATTAATCTTCTACTGCTTTTCTATCTTATAAATAGGATCATTGACTCCTCCTCCTTCCCATCCCTTTTTCCTCTTGTTTATTCATAGTGAGCACTTCTATTTCCTTCCGTAGGTACAAACTTTTTCCAGCTCAAGGTGCTGCTGAAACCCTGCTGCTATTGTAAAGATGACATGGGCTCAGCAAACATGAAAACCCCCTTCCCTACCAGGAGCAGCAGCAAGGAGCGGGAGAAAGCCAGAAAAAATATTACCTCTGTTCATGTCTTAGGGAACAAGAATTTCAGGCTCTGACCCATCCTTTTTTTCGATATACCCACTGTGAGTGCTGCCTTGGCTTGTGTCCTGGTTTCAGCTGGGATAGAGTTAATTTTCTTCTTGGTAGCCAGTATGGGGCTGTGTTTTGGGTTTAGGATGAGACCAATGTCGATGATACACTGATGCTTTGGTTCTTGCGAAGTAGCGCTAAGCTGTTGCTAAGTGACGCTCACACTGGTTAAGGACTTTTCGGCTTCCCATGCTCTGCCGGGTGCACAAGAAGCTGGGAGGGGGCACAGCCAGGTCAGCTGACTCAAACGGGCCAAAGGGCTATTCCATACTACATGATGTCATGCTCAGTATATAAGCTGGGGGAGTTGGCCGGGGGGCAACGATCGCTGCTTGGGGGACGTGCTGGGCATTGTTCAGCGGGTGGTGAGCAATTGTACAGTGTATCACTTGCTTTGTACT